TGTATTATCTCTACAAGTTACACCTGAGGATGGCCTGTCTACAATGTATTATCTCTACAAGTTACACCTGAGGATGGTCTGTCTACACTGTATTATCTCTACAAGTTACACCTGAGGATGGCCTGTCTACAATGTATTATTTCTACAAGTCACACCTGAGGATGGCCTGTCTACAATGTATTATCTCTACAAGTTACACCTGAGGATGATCTGTCTACACTGTATTATCTCTACAAGTTACACCTGAGGATGGCCTGTCTACAATGTATATCTCTACAAGTTACAGTATACATGCGTTGTTGTTAGCACAATTAGTTAGGTGTATAATCTGTAGAGTACAGAAATGTTGTAATGTTATGTTGGGTCATCCCAGTTCAAGAAATATGGAGCATCCTTAAAATACACACCATTAGGCCACGAAACACTAGTTTCCTGGTGGCTTTATCATATACCTGGCCTATATCAGCTAAACAAGCAGACCATCACATTCCATCTTCTTGCAAATGATTAACCATGCATCAAGCAAATGCTTCAGTTTTGCAATTTAAGGGTTTGTTGTTTTTCACATTAAAGTTTTTCACTGTAACATCAACTCCTGTGTTTTTGTATGTATACACTAAACAACATATTTTTTCGTACTGTGGCCTTAAGAGTATTACTACAATGTACATGCTAGCAACTAGTGTGAAAACACATAAAACATCAAACCTAGACACACTTAGGACAGTGAAGTACAGCCAAACCAATAAAAGATGCAGGCTGAGAGGTTTTGTCTGTTCGTTCTATCACTGGGCTGTTTGTACACCGTGGTACAGTATTACAATGATGTCTGTCTCTAGTTATCTCAACGATGTTGTCACGAGATCTTCCTAATCGGGCATGAAGAAAGACTTCAGTCTACATTCACAAATTATCAAGGCTATTTTCAAAAAAAAAATGAAACACAAACGTCATGGCCTTCACTCCAACAAGTTACAGGATAAATATAATAACTGTAGACTATCTCACAGATCTTTTGAAACTCTTCAAATATTTAACATGTTTGACCCATGCAATCGAGAAAAAAGGGTCTTGGTCATCTATCAAAACTGATTTAACAGCATTTTACTCAATCAGGTCGCTCCAAAGATTTTGTTACCCTCGGCCTTCTGGATCTTTAAAACAAGTCACTTGAAGATTTTAACATACATTTATCTGACTCCTGTGGCTTCAAAAGTTGGTCAATGTCATACATTTGATAAAAAGAAATAGCCCTTCGCACAGCATGCTACTGACCGAATATCGTGAGCATAGGCCTTTCAATTATTCACAAGAAGTTATCTACATATTTTCATACATGAGACCCCTGCTACCTAGAATATAAGCTAAGGAAATGTCTGATTCAAAAGTTTATAGCAGTGCAAGCAAGCAAGGTCATGGTCAAAAATCATGACTCTAGACCTTTTAGTTCTTTAGAAGAATTCCTTTGAGTGTATAAACAAATTTGACATCAGTGACCTATAATGTGGATCAAGGTTATTTCTTTCAACAAACTGAGTTCCAACAGGGAAGGCTTACCATTAAGCTGTAAATATGAGCGACAATAAACAAATTTGACCCCTGTGACCTTAAACAGATGAGCTGAAATGTGACCATAAA